TTATTTCTCCCTGAATAAACATCTATTCGGCCTATTTGTTTATCCTGATCCTTATTTACCTCGATAGGTATAGAACTGAAGAGAGAATTTTCAATAGAGGAAATCAAAAAGGCTGAAAGACACTTAAGAAAGTGCTCCACATCCTTAGCTATCAGGGAAATGCAAATCAAAACCACTTTGAGATAACATCTTACCCCTGCCAGAATGGCTAAAATTAGAAACACCAATGATGACTCATGTTGGAGAGGATGTGGAGAAAGTGGAACACTCCTCCACTGCTGGTGGGAGTGCAAACTCATACAGCCATTTTGGAGTTCAGTATGGCGGTTCCTCAGGAAAATGGGAATTAGTTTACCACAGGACCCGGCAATCCCCTTCTTAGGCATTTACCCAAAGGATTCACATCCATACAACAAAGACATCTGTTCAACTATGTTCATAGCAGCACTATTTGTAATAGCAAGAACCTGGAAGCAACCTAGATGCCCCTCAATTGAAGAATGGATAATGAATATGTGACACATCTACACAATGGAATACTACTCTGCAGAAAAAAATAATGGTATCTTCAAATTTGCAGGTAAGTGGATGGCACTTGAAGAAACCATCCTGAATGAGGTAACCCAGTCACAAAAAGAGAAACATAGTATGTACTCACTCATATATGGATTTTAGACCTAGAGCAAAGGATCACCAGCCTATAATTCACACTATCAGAGGAACTAGGATACAAGGTGTATTCTAAGACATTCATATAAGGCCCCCAGAGCACAGAGGAAGTAGGGGGGCAGTGAATGGAGAGATAAATAGGAAGAAGAGAGGGGAAGGAGACTAAAACACATGTGACTAGGAAGATTGAGTCTGGTTAGGAATAGAAGACAGGCAAGAGACAGACACAGAGAGAGAGAGAGAACATAAAAGAGGGAGCCAATATTGGTTTGAAGAGAAAATTGAACACAAAGAAAGGTCTAGAGAACTACAAGACTGCTCCCAACTACCAATTTGAGCATCCATGGAAAGGCTACCATAAATGCCCTTTCAGGACAGTGAGATCAACAACTAACTTATGCATGGAGCCCTCATCTAATACCTGTTGGAAACAGGAGCAAACACCCATACATAAACCCTGAGTTGAAGTAGAACCCAGATGCAGATGGAGAGGACAAGACCAGGCTGCAGAAACACATAGAGACAGCTTACCTGAACAAGGAGGAGCTAACGGGACCCCAGACTGAATAGTGGGAAGCCAGTATGGGACTGACTCAGGCCCCCGTGAATATGGGTCTCAGCCAGAAGGATTGAGCAGTCTAAGGGACCTCAGACAGTGGAGCCAGGAAGTATCCCTGGCGCACAAAAGGACCTTGTGAACACATCCTCCATGAAGGGATGACTGCCTTAACCTAGAGATAGGAGAGAAGTCCTAGTCCCTACTACACATGACCTGTCAGATTTACATGACCCCAACTGGATAGCATTCCCTTACATATGGAATTGGGGTGGGGGGTGATGGGAGGGGTTGGTGGTTAGTGTGCATGTGAGAGGGCAGAGAGGGTAAAAGTGATGGAAGCAGGGAGGGAGGGAGAGGGAACTGGGATCGACATGTAAAATAATAAATTAAATTTAAAAAAAAATAGATACAGGGAAAACTCCCCTGACCCTAAATGGTGTGAAAAAAAAAAAGAAAGAAAGAAAGAAAGAAAGAAAGAAACTACTCAACAAAACACCAAATAACCCTATTAAAAATGGGGTATAGAACTGAAGAGAGAATTTTCAATAGAGGAAATCAAAAAGGCTGAAAGACACTTAAGAAAGTGTCCTTAGCTATCAGGGAAATGCAAATCAAAACCACTTTGAGATAACATCTTACTCCTGCCAGAATGGCTAAAATTAGAAACACCAATGATGACTCATGTTGGAGAGGATGTGGAGAAAGTGGAACACTCCTCCACTGCTGGTGGGAGTCCAAACTCATACAGCCATTTTGGAGTTCAGTATGGTGGTTCCTCAGGAAAATGGGAATTAGTTTACCACAGGACCCAGCAATCCCCCTCTTTGGCATATACAAAATGATCCACATCCATGCAACTAAGACATGTGCTCATCTATGTTTATAGCAGCATTGTTTGTAATAACAAGGACCTGGAAGCAACCTAGATGCCCCTCAATTGAAGAATGCATAAAGAAGATGTGGCACATCTACACAATAGAATGCTACTCTCAGAAAAACAAATAATGGAATCATGAAATTCGCAGGCAAGTGGATCGCACTTGAAGAAACCATCCTGAATGAGGTAACCCAGTCACAAAAAGTGGACCATGGTATGTATTCACTCATATATGGATTTTAGGCCTAGATCAAAGGATCACCAGCGTATAATTCACACCACCAGAGGACTAGGATACAATGTGGATTCTAAGACAATTATATAAGGTCTCTCACAGAAGGGGGAAGGGACAAGTTCTCCAGAGTACTTGGGGAGTGTGGGGAAGCAGTGAGTGGAGAGGGAACTAGGAGAAAGCGAAGGGGAGGAGAGGAGAGCATGTGGGACTAGGAAGACTGAGTCAGGGTAGGAATAGAAATCAGGAGAGAGAGAGAGAGAGAGAGAGAGAGAGAGAGAGAGAGAGAGAGAGAGAGAGGGAGGGAGGGAGGGAGGGAGGGAGGGAGACAGAGAGACAGAACGAACATAAAGGGGGAGCCATTATTGGTTTGAAGAGAAAATATAACCTAAAGAAAGGTCTAGAGACCTACAAGATTGCTGCCAACTATTGAGTAACCGTGGAAAGGCTACCATAAATGTCCTTCCTGGAAAGTGAAATCAACAACTACTTATACACCATCATGGAGCCCTCATCTAGTACCTGTTGGAAGCAGAAGCAAATACCCATAACTAAACAGAGTTGAACTAGCATCCAAATGCAGAGAGACAGAGGACAAGACCAGGTTGCAGAAACACATAGACACAGCTGACCTGAACAAGGAGTTAATGGACCTTCAGACTGATAGCTGGGAATCCAGCATGGGACTGACTCAGAACCCTGAATATGGGTCTCAGCTAGAAGGACTGAGCTGTCTAAGGGACCTCAGACAGTGGATCCAGCATGTATTTCTGGTGCATAAAAGGACCTTGTAGACACATCCCTCATGGAGGGATAATCTCTTAACCTATAGACGGAAGAGAAGTCCTAGTCCCTACTTCAAATGACTTTACAGATTTACATGATCCCACCTGGATGGCAAACCCTCTTTTATGAGATGTATTTTATAGATATCCACAGAAATATGGATATGTTAAAAAAATGAACTAGAGTAAAGAAATTACAATTTTGGTATATAGATTTATTATTAAGAAACAGAAAAATCTGTGTTTTTAAACTCAGTCTTTCATGTCTCTTTCTTTTCCCTAACATTTTTGCTTCAAAACCTGTTTGTTTTGTTTTTTTGGGGGGGCATTTATATAATAGTTACTGATACAATTGCAAGGACTTGTAGAAAATTTCTAGCAATGACAAATGAGTTTGTTTCTGTATTTTCCTCTTGCTGAGTTGTGCAGGGCATAATGGACAGAATTATGAAGGGAACAACCTAATAATCTGCTCAGGGAACTAAGTATTCCTTATGGGAAATTACAGAATAAACAGAACTTTGAGTCTCAAAAGAGAGATTGTTTATATCCATGCTACATGATATAAACGCAGGTTTTGTTTTTTCTACCCTTAAGAGACTCACAAACCTGGAAGGGATCATTAAAGAGAGAATAATTTTCTATGCTTCTCTGATGGCTGTTCTTGGTTGTGAATTTGACTATAATTGGAATGAACTATAATCCAGAAATGGGAGGCATACGTGTGATCCAGATCTTGAGTCAGGAAGATACATGCCATTAATTGAGATAGTGTGGTTAGAATTCACACCTTCAATCCACGGCACACCTTCTACGGAAGCCTATATAAGGACAATGGGATAAGGAAGGCTTTATTCTTCACCTGCTTGTGCTCATCTTGTCAGGCCATCCCAACAGACCAGGTGAGATACCCAGCCTTGTTGGCTGAGCAGCTACTAGATTTTTGGACATACCATTCATACCTAGTCATTGTTGGACTAATATAACTTCTGATATTTTGCTATAATGCTAGTTTATAGGACTCTCACTTCGGGGAAATAATGCACATATGAGATCATTATTTTCTGTTGTAAAATAAATAGAACATTTAAGAGAAATTCTTTTTTTCTATTATTTTTATTTATTTATATTTATTTTTCTTACTTCACATATTAATCCCAGTTCCCTCTCTCTTCCTCCCACTTTCTTTTTTTCCCTCCCTCTCATACCCTCCCCCACCACTCTCCCATTCCATCCCATCCTATTTCCTCTCCACTCCATAGGGAGGGTGGTGCCTTGCAGGAGGGGTCAACAAAATCTGTCAAGTCATTTGGAGTAGGGACTAGACCCTCCCTTAAGAGAAATTCTTAAATTGAAATCATGTCATATCCCTGGCATAGATATTTTAAGAGGTCAGAGCCAGTTGTGTATTGATAAGTAACATCACTTCATTTTCAGAAATGTAGCCTAGGCTATAGAAGTGAAAGAGCCTGTGTGGTCCAACAGCAGTAACATATTCAGGTGAACAGAGGTTAGCATTTCATTAATCTGTAAAATATCCCTGAAATCTGAAAGCTATATAAATCATGTGTTCAGGAGATAGTAGTGGTTTATTTCTCCTTCTATCCTTAATCCTTCAGGAAGACTAAAGAGGCTGGAGGAAATGGTTGTTTAAAGACTTCAGAGTTGTGTCAGTGTTTTCTCAGATTGGATGCTCATCCTGGATAAGAAAAGAAGAAATAAGGATTTCTCAGGAATTGGAGGCAATTTCCTTTGAGTGCTTTGCTCAGTGGCTTCAGGTAGCAATGAACTCATAACTGACTCTAGATGTCCTTTTGGAGTCAGTGACAGAGTTCCTTGCTAATGTGACCCTTTATAACTGTTTCTACAGATCTCCTCCGGGTATCACAAATGGCTCTGAAGAATGACTCTTCAGTGACTGAATTCATTCTCACAGGATTGACAGACCAACCTGAACTCCAGCTACCCCTATTTGTTGTATTTCTGGTGAATTATGTAGTTACTGTGGTGGGAAACTTGAGTTTAATGGGTCTTATTTTCCTAAATTCAAACCTGCAGACCCCCATGTACTTTTTTCTCTTTAATCTATCCTTCATTGATTTATGTTATTCATTTGTGTTTACTCCCAAAACACTAATGAGTTTTGTCTTGGAGAAGAATGCCATCTCCTTTGGAGGATGCATGAGTCAGCTGTTTTTCTTCTGTTTTTTTGCCCACTCTGAGTGTTATGTGCTGACAGCCATGGCCTATGATCGATATGTAGCCATCTGTCAACCCCTGATGTACATGGTTATCATGTCTCCTAGGAAATGTTCCCTGTTGATGACTGGTTCATACTTGATGGGGTTTATTGGTGCCATTGTCCATACAGGGTGCATGATCAGTCTCAACTTTTGTGATTCTAACATCATCAACCACTACCTATGTGACATCCTTCCCCTTCTCCAGCTCTCCTGCAGCAGCACCTATGCCAATGAGCTTGTGAGCTCTATTGTTGTCAGCACAGTAGTCATTGCATCTAGCCTTATCATATTAATGTCCTATGCTTTCATTCTTATTAATGTCACTAAATTGTCATCAGGTAAGGGTTTGTCCAAAGCCATGAGTACCTGCAGTTCTCACATAATAACTGTTGCTCTATTCTATGGATTTGGTATGCTTACACATATCAAAACATCATCTGATGAATCTGTGCCTCAGGGCAAAATTCTCAGTATATTTTGTACATTTTTGCTGCCCTTGTTGAACCCTTTTATTTACAGTCTCAGGAATAAGGATGTCAAACTTGCTCTAAAGAGAACTATGGGGAGATTCACAGTGAGTGAACCACTGGGGCTGCCCTAGCCCAGGGCTCGAATTTGGGTCTTTCTCACCACTGCATTTCTTTATCACGTCCTTTTTAATATTCTCTCCTTTCTTTCATCTTTCTTTTTATATTCTGATAAGGTTTCAATTTTTTTGACCTTTTTTCTTTCCTCCACAAAAATTCTTGATTTTCTTATCTGGGGAGAGGAAAGCATTTTTTATCTAGGGACTCATCCTGAATATGGATCTCCTCCATCTTTGTTCTAGGTGGAGGCATAAGAGGCATGCATATATATTATCTCAAGACACTCTACCTACTATTTATCTATGCACTTTTACAACCAATAGATGTGAGGGAGATGATTGCTTTCTTTTTTTGTTTATATATTTTTCCTTTTTTATTTAAATTTGAAACAAGGTTGTTTTACATGTCAATCCCAGTTCCCTCACCCTCCCATCCTTATACTAGGTATAAATACTTAACCGTTACTAGAGGCCCCATAGACTGCCCAGTACTCCTAACTAACATCCACATTCAGGGGATTTGGGTCTGTCCCATGCTGGTTTCCCATCTATCACTGAGGTACATGAGCTCCCCCTTGTTCAGGTCAGCTGATTCTGTGGGCTTCTTAGTTACTCAGAGAGGAATTTCTAGAGCTTTTTCTCTTTCAAGTCTTTAAAAAAAACTTGTAAATTGCAGCAAAAGAAAGAATGTATGACTAAATTGTGGTCACAGTAAAGTTGTCAAAGTTTTTGGCATTATTTATTTCCTTTCAAAATTTTTCTTATTTTGCATTTTGTACCTCATAATTAAAAAATGACATTTTGTGTTTAATTGGAGTAGTGGTCAATTTTATAATTAATGAAGGTTGAACTAGGCTATTTTGTATCCAGACTTATTAAATATCATTAACAATAACAGTGGTTTTTTGTTTTTGCTTTGTAGAAGGTTGTTTTGTCATAAATACAATGGAATTTGTCACTGCATTTGAGCTATTGATAAAGATTGATTACTTTAAAAAACCATACAATAACATGTAATGTGTAAAATCATTATTCTTTTGTAATATAGCAAGGAAAATGTTTTCACAGAACAGTCTACTTACTTCTAAAAAGGAAACCAAAAGTGACAATATAGAGTGATAGAGTACTTCTATGCTTAAGTGTGGTTCTTCCTACACATGTACATACACACATACAAATATGTATATATCTTAAAATATGTCCAAATACATAAATACATGTGTTTATGGCACAAATATTGAGCAAAGGGATTTTTATTTAAATGTGTATATCTAATTTTTTCCTTTGTTTGTTTCCAGGAACCCCTCCCTCCAGCTCATGTCAAACCAAACGAAATCCCCATTTATGTGAATGTCTGTGTAATGTGTAATGTTCTTAAATATATTGTTAATATAATTCTTATTTTCTTTTCTCTGGATTTAACTTGTTTTAGGTGATATAATTAGTAATACAAATCCTAGTGTTTATCTCTGCATCCAATAAAGACTAAGAAAGAAGGATAGAAAGATAATTGTGAAATGACAGAGTTAGAGAGTTGTTCAGAATGAGTCTGAAAGAGGGATATGCCCTGGGGACCACATGGCTAGCCTGATACTTGTGCCACTGCAAGCCTTGAGTTATGTTATGATAAACCAACAGTCCCCAGATCTGAGACAAGGAATTCTTAGGGTTGATCCTGTCCATGTTTCATTTCATAAAGACAGTGACTGGGGAGACATGAAGCTCTGGGTCCAGATGTTGGTAGAGTACTGGGCTAGGTGGGAAGCAAGATTTACTCTTTACAGCTGTTATGATTCTACATCAAAGTGGATTATGTCCTCAGATCACATAACCTCAGCAATTGTCTATCTCAACCAGTTGAATTGCTTATACAGTTGTTTTCCAACATGATGCTTAGAGACAACATTTTAAGACTTTTATATGGCTTTGACTTTGAAGTGGATTAAACTCTACAGATGCATCAAGATATGTAAACATCTACCAAGAGTTACGCAAAGTAGATTGCTGAAAAGCAGGAGGAAGAATCAAAACTTCAAAAAGGTCATTAAACCTTATACTGATCTATACAGTAGAATAAGAAAAGAAATCATGTCTTAGATAATATCTTTAATTGTTGTCCTTCTAGTAGATCATGTATATCAGAGAAGGTCAAAGCTAGACAACAGATTGAGAAGTTTCCTTGGCTGAGGATGGCCCATATCTTCACCCAGTTTCAATTTTGAACTTGAAAGTTGGAGAAATGTTTCTTTACTGGTTTCTGCTGTTGAGGCTCACCATTATTCTACCTTCATTATATTATTATCAACAAGACAGGATACTTTATTAGTAATATTTGTTCAGAAATGTTTTTGTTTTATTTTTATTTATTTATTTATTTTATATAACCAAGTCAATTTAAATGAAAACAAACATTTAGAGACAATATTTGGGAATTTGGGCGTTGTTCTTTCCAAACTACTTCCTGCTGGTAAGGGGTACTGTCATGGGGGATTCTAAGAAGATGCAGAAATCCTAGGTGTACTCTGTAATGCTGCTTTGTCCAGCTGTTTTGAATGTAGGATCACCTGGTACTTTGTTTCACATGGTCTGGCTTGATCAATCACATTAGTCTGGAAGGAATCCACAGCTTTTCATTTTCTGTGGAAACAAAAATAGAAATCCTTTTCCCCAGTAACTTGACCTTGAACTTAAATTTTAAAGTCAAAGCATTTTTTTATTTAATTTATTATTTTACATGTCGATCAGAGTTCCCTCTCCCTCCCTACCTTCCTCCCTACATCCCACCTTCCTCTCTCATGCACCCTAACTACCCTCCCTTCCCATCCCCCACCCCATTTCCATATATAGGGGAATGCCATCCACTTGGGGTCATGTAGATCTGACAGGTCGTGTAGTAGGGACTAGGACTTCTCTCCTGTATCTAGGTTAAGGCAGTTATCCCTCCATGGAGGATGTGTTTACCAGGTCTTTTTGTGCACTAGGGATACATCCTGGCTCCACTGTCTGAGGTCCCTTAGACTGCTCAGTCCTTCTGGCTGAGACCCATATTCACGGGGGCCTGAGTCAGTCCCATACTGGCTTTCCAGTAATCAGTCTGGTGGCCCTTTAGCTCCTCCTTGTTCAGGTAAACTGTCTCTATGAGTTTCTGCAGCCTGGTCTTGTCCTCTCCATCTGCATCTTGGTTCTACTTGGACCCAGGGTTTATGTATGGGTGTTTGCTCCTGTTTCCAACAGGAATTAGTTGAAGGCTCCATGGATAAGTTAGTTGTTGATCTCACTATCCACGAAGGGCATTTATGGTAGCTTTCCCACGAAAGCTCAAATTGTTAGTTGGCGGCAGTCTTGTAGTTCTCTAGACCTTTCTTTCAGTTCAATTATATCTTCAAACCAATATTAGTTCCCTCTTTTATGTTCTCTCTTTCTCTCTCTCATGTCTTCTATTCCTAACCAGGCTCAATCTTCCTGGTTGCACGTGTTTTCCTTTCCTCCCCTCATTTTCTATTACTTCTCTCTCTGACTGCCCTCCCACTTCCACTCTGCTCTGGGGGACTTGTCCCTTCCCAGTTATGTAAAGAACTTTATATGAATCTCTTAGAATACACCTTGTATCCTAGTTCCTCTGGTAGTGTGAATTATACACTGGTGAACCTTTGATCTAGGTCTAAAATCCATATATGAGTGAATACATACCATGGTCCTCTTTTTGTGACTGGGTTACCTCATTCAGGATGGTTTCTTCAAGTGCGATCCATTTGCCTGCGAATTTCATGATTCCATTATTTTTTTCTGAGAGTAGCATTCTATTGTGTAGATGTGCCACATCTTCTTTATGCATTCTTCAATTGAGGGGCATCTAGGTTGCTTCCAGGTCCTTGTTATTACAAATAATGCTGCTATAAACATAGATGAGCACATGTCTTAGTTGCATGGATGTGGATCATTTTGTATATGCCAAAGAGGGGGATTGCTAGGTCCTGTGGTAAACTAATTCCCATTTTCCTGAGGAACCACCATACTGAACTCCAAAATGGCTGTATGAGTTTGGACTCCCACCAGCAGTGGAGGAGTGTTCCACTTTCTCCACATCCTCTCCAACATGAGTCATCATTGGTGTTTCTAATTTTAGCCATTCTGGCAGGAGTAAGATGGTATCTCAAAGTTGTTTTGATTTGCATTTCCCTGATAGCTAAGGACACTTTCTTAAGTGTCTTTCAGCCTTTTTGATTTCCTCTATTGAAAATTCTCTCTTCAGTTCTATACCCCATTTTGTAATAGGGTTATTTGGTGTTTTGTTGAGTAGTTTCTTTCTTTCTTTCTTTCTTTCTTTCTTTTTTTTTTTTTTTTTTTTCACACCATTTAGGGTCAGGGGAGTTTTCCCTGTATCTATTTTTTTTAAATTTAATTTATTATTTTACATGTCGATCCCAGTTCCCTCTCCCTCCCTCCCTGCTTCCATCACTTTTACCCTCTCTGCCCTCTCACATGCACACTAACCACCAACCCCTCCCATCACCCCCCACCCCAATTCCATATGTAAGGGAATGCCATCCAGTTGGGGTCATGTAAATCTGACAGGTCATGTGTAGTAGGGACTAGGACTTCTCTCCTATCTCTAGGTTAAGGCAGTCATCCCTTCATGGAGGATGTGTTCACAAGGTCCTTTTGTGCGCCAGGGATACTTCCTGGCTCCACTGTCTGAGGTCCCTTAGACTGCTCAATCCTTCTGGCTGAGACCCATATTCACGGGGGCCTGAGTCAGTCCCATACTGGCTTCCCACTATTCAGTCTGGGGTCCCGTTAGCTCCTCCTTGTTCAGGTAAGCTGTCTCTATGTGTTTCTGCAGCCTGGTCTTGTCCTCTCCATCTGCATCTGGGTTCTACTTCAACTCAGGGTTTATGTATGGGTGTTTGCTCCTGTTTCCAACAGGTATTAGATGAGGGCTCCATGCATAAGTTAGTTGTTGATCTCACTGTCCTGAAAGGGCATTTATGGTAGCCTTTCCATGGATGCTCAAA